AGCCACCTCCATTCCATGCTCACCTTCCACCTATGTGATTGTCTGTTTTTCTAGACTGGGATTGGGGGTGTGTGTGTGAAACACAGTGTTGAATGCGTGTGAACATGGTGAGCTGTCTGCAGGGTGCAAGATGGAAAAAGATGTGAGTTCTTCTTGTTCTAGTTTCCCAGACTGCAGGTAACATAAAATTAAAATATGAGGATGAACCACTGCCTTTTCACAATTGCATCTATCCTCTGGACATAGCTCATCAGGCTTACTAAACTGATTTCACAACGAATGAGTCTGTGACATCACACATACCACAAGTGGGGCCTCAAGTCTATCTTCCTGTGAGAAAGTCTAGTCAAACCAGGAAATTGTATGGTGGGTGATTTTACAGGGCAAACAAGGAATTTAAAGAATTCATCTAATCCCTATTTGTGTTCATTTCCTTGCTCTGCCACACACACCCAAGCTTACACTGGTGACTTGGATTAGTGAAGATATTCAACTGTCCCTTAACTTCTCATTACAGTTTGATTTTTTTTTCATTTGACCTATGTCATTCTTTAACATTTTTGCCAGTTCTCTTGGCAGGAAGGGGATGTGTGTGTGTATTCTATTACATCTGGATATATTGTGTATGACCAGTGGTATAGCTAGGACTTTGAGGCCTTGGGAGGAAGTGCCCAATCTTTTGTACATGTACACAGCAAATACTTTGGGTTGGATCCAGCCAGCTTTTCCACTGGTGAAAAAAGTACAGCTGTCTCTCCTGCCCCCCTCCCCCAATGCTACGCTGGAGATTGTGGGGCCTGCATGCCCAAAAGTCTCATGGGATGGAGACTGAGCAAAATGGGCCAAGACTGAGCAAAAATGCTAGCTGGATGCAACCCCTTATTGCAAACTATATCTGTATTTAACTGCAAACGTAAGCTTCCCTTCTTCTCCTGATCAATTCTCTGGCCCTCATGGGATTTAAATGAAAATACCTTATTTCAAAATTGTGTTTTGTGTTGTTCCAGTCAGGATAACTGCTGGCCCGTAGCTACCGTGGGGCCCACGGGGCCCAGCCCCCTAGTCTTTCTTCTGGGCTCCCTCCTTCCCGGGCCACCCCCAAAGTGCCCCAACTTGCCGCCTGCATTGTGCTTTGATTTAATTAGCTGGCGCCCCACCTGAGGCCCCCTCCCCAAAAATTCCCCAGCTACGGGGCTGGATAGCTGTTATAGATTTAAAAAACAACTATTAGAACAGTTGTGGTAAGCAAAACATCAGGTAGCGACCTTGCCCTTTGACTTATACCATATATGACTTTATGCAGCACTGATCCCCACTAGTATATGTTCAAACGCTTCCATAAGTGAAGAAGGGACTAAGAAACCACAAGAAGAAACTGAGCCCGCAGCACTTGGGAATGACAATTCCATGATAGCACAAGTATTGCGAGCTGGATCAGAGCCCTCATCCCACTCAGATCATGCATAA